TCACAAAGAGGATAGACAAAAGTGGAGTTGGAGGGTTAGAAACCCAATCTAGAGGCAAGGATCTAGCTGCAGAAGTCGTAGGCATCCAGTTAGCTACACCATTACAGAATCTTGGTCTAAACACAAATTGAAGATCTAGATACATCGCAATTTGCCAAGGGGGAGTGTCTTCGCCAGAGAAAAGAGAGATAAGCACTATGTTGTCACTTTTGATGATAGTTTGCTAGTTATTGATGGCCTAGGCTATTAAGCAAGCTTATTGAGGAGCTGCTACTTCGGAAGAAAGGCTGGACACTCCCAAAATGGGGAAGGCTACTCCCTCTAAGAGGATTCCTAAGTGGTCTCTACATACCACTGCAACAATAGCAAATCTAGGGTTAAAAAAAAAGGCACCATCACAATTGAATTTTTCCTTCTGATAGGGTGGTGGTTCCCATTTAACATCAAGTGGTCTAATTTCACTTTTGGGGAAAGTCTCTAGGGCAGACATAGCTCTAGAGGATTGGACATCCCCCTAAATTATTTGGGCTCTCCTAATTGCTGCAAAAGCATTGGGCTCCAGCCGTTGAAAATTAGCTTCATTTCCCATATTCCAAATGATCCACCCAATAGTAGCAACTTTGCTTAAAACATTCAACACCTGAGCCTTGTTCTGTGTTTTTTCTACAAAATAAACTTAGTCCAAGATTGCACTAAAGAAACACACTTGCCAAAGAAGTTTCCATTGATTTTATGATAGAGAAAAAATGAAGAAACCCCCAGACCCATATTCAAGAATTTTTGCTTTCTCACCACAAAATAACCTGATTTAATAGAGTAAACTCCCCTTGAAAGGGGATGCTATACCCTTGAATCCTCTCCTTCAAATTTAGCATTCAGAATGGCCTTCATGCCACTCCTTTTTACTTAAATTCTATTCTAGAATTGTCGAGTTCTAGTCCCCATTGGATATACAATCTCTTACGAAATTTATATTATAATTCTAGGGACGTTTGGAGGCTATGGAAAAGTTTGGTAAAGTAGGGATCCACTTATCCTCCCAGAACTTAACTTTATCACCTTTCTTAACTTGCCATCTCATGCCTTTGGATAGAAGTTCTCTACCACTTAGTAAACTGCTACACTTCCAGGAGGGTCTAGCTCCCTTTTTTGCATGTAAAAAATTAGATTTAGGGAAATATATAGATTTCAGAAGCCTAGCCTAGTAAGAATCTTGCTTTTTTCGTCAAACGCCAACACTATTTCACTGGCAAAGCTTTATTGAAACATTGAACATCTCGGAATCCCATTCAACCCATGTTTTTTGGTAAATTCGTGGTCTCCCATTTCCTCCAATGTATACCATTAGACTTAGACACCCTTCCCCACCAACGATCTAATGATTGAGGTAATTTTGTTATAGAACTTTTGGGGGAAGGACAGACAGGTCATCGCGAAGGATGGAATGACTTGTACAACCGCCTTGATTAAGACCTCTTTACTTGCACTAGATAGATATGAATCCTTCCACCCTTGGATTTTAGACATAACCCTTTCCACCAGATAGTTAGATGTCTAAGTTTTTGAATGCCCCTAGAAAGAGGGATGCCCAAGTATTTCATTGAAGTAGGAAGAAGTTTGATTTTAAGGACTTCATAGAGGTGGTTTTGTAAAGTCGTGGGGTATTAATAGAAAAGAGAACCTCGAACTTATGGAAATTAATCAACTGATTAGCAGCCTCACTGAACTTTGCAAGTAAGCTCCACATATGTTGGCCTTCAGTTTCGCCAACCCTGAGAAAAAGAAGAGAATCATCAACAAAACAAAAGTGTGCTATGATAGGACTTCTTCTCCGACATTTTAGACCCAATATATATCCATGATTCGCCTCTTGGTGGACTAGTCTGGATAGGGCATCTGCAATGAGAAGGAAAAGATAAGGGGGAGATGGGATCACCTTGTCGCAAGCCTCTTCCTGGTTTCACCTTACACCTTATCGTACCATTACATATTACTTCAAAATTAACTATGCTCACGCATTGCATAAATAGCTTCACCCACTTGGAATTGAATCCCAGCTTATGTAGAATTGCTTCCAAGAAATCCTATTCAACCCAATCGTAAGCCTTGTTGAGGTCAAGTTTGATAGCATTGTAGGAAACCTCAAAGACTTTTTAACTTCATTGCGTGAAAGTCCTCATTAGCAACAATAATATTATCATGGATTTGGCGAGAGGGAACAAAAGTAGCCTGACTAGAAGTAACCAAGAGGGAGAAGATCCTCTTTAGTTTGTTGGGCAGGACTTTAGAGATAATGTTGTTGATAAAATTATAACTTGAAAAAGGTTGAAACTGTGTAAGGCTTTATGGATTGGATTCTGTCAGAATAAGGACTATAAAAGTGGAGTTAATTTCAGTAGGCATTGATTCCTCATTGAAAAAATGGCAAACCATAGAACAGACCTCCTCTTCCACAACGTGTCAATAGTTATGATAAAAAAGACTAGGGAAACCATCAAGGCCAAGTGCTTGCACTGCCCCAGTTGCTTAGTAGCTGTCCAAATCTCACCGTCAGTGATAGCCTAAAGCAAGTTAGAGTTTATCTCTTCTGATTCCAGGTTTTGGGATGGCCTTAACTAGTTCTTCCAAATTTCTATCTCCTGATGGAGCAAATAACTCTGGGAAATAAGAGGATATATGGGCATTTATATCTTCCTCCTCCTCTAACCACAAATCCTCACTCACTTTCAATCTCAAAAGTTGATTTATTTGATGCCTTTGAATGGTGGTTAGGTGAAAGAATTTTTTATTCAAGTTACTCGCCTTAAGCCATTTGATTCTCGACCTTTGGTGCCAATAGACTTCTTCCCTTCCCCTAATACATCAATATGGTTTCGAATCTCCCTTTCTTTTTGTAGATTCTGGACCATAGGTGTAAAACCCACCCTTTTATCTTTATATATGTATGTAGGTTTATGTAGCAAGTTATTATTTCTTTTGGAAATGTTAATATGGAAATTTGAGGAAATAGTAGTTAAAACTTAGCTTAGCTTGCACATGTATGAAATCGTTGTAATAGAACTTGTACCAACTAGGTTTGATGTACAAAAGCATGTTGAATAAGTTTGGGTTGGATTTGGAAGGGTTTGGAATGGGTTTGAAATGAAAAATAGAGGAAATAGACAAATTTAGATAGGATCTATCGGTAGTACGCTGTCCAGTGGATCCGAACTACCGGTAGCTCAATAGGGAGTAAGTTGCGAGTGGATCCGAGCTACCAGTAGCTCAACAGGTAGTAAATGTCCAGTAGTTCTGAACTACCTGTAGCTCAACAGGTAGCAGATTGCCAGTGTATCGAATTACCAGTAGCTTGATACGAACTACTGGTAGATAGTTAAAAAGTCGGGATTTTCAGCTTTTAAAACCCCATTTTCACTACATTTACTCCCATTCTTTCACACCACTCTCACTCCACACCTCTTAGAACCCTAATAGAAAGACTTAGAGAGGAAGAAAGAAGGGGAGAACAAGAGTTCTAAAGGGGATTAAAGATCAAACCTACATTCTCCAAGAATATCAAGGTAGGGGGTTTTCTTCCATGCTTGTCCATTGATGCTAGGGCTAATTATATGTATTCTTTTGACTTTAAATCTTATATATTTGCTATGAAATCATCTTTTCTTGGTCTTCTTGCAATTATTATCATGTTTTACACAAGTTAGGGTTGAATACCCATGAAATCTCTTGTTTTTGCTTTAAAACCCTAGTTTTTGGAGAGTGATGAATTTTCTTCTTAAATTCTTTCTTTATTATTGATTTCGAAACTACAGTGCTTTAAGTTGAGTACTAAAATGATATTGATGATGATCTCTTGCATTTTATTCAATTGTTCTATTGAAACACAACATGTGAAATTGGGAATTTATGGAATTATTGTTATTTGAGAAAATTGTTGGTATTGTATCCCTTGTGTGGTTGTTGGATAAACATGGACTACTATTGACCAAGTATCTTGGAGTGTGTAGATGCCTTCTTACTCCATGTGGGTTAGAACTTTTCCTACCACTCGTAATGGGGTTAGTGCCTTGCGAGGACTAAACCATTATCCTTTACGGGTTATCGTGGAAAAAGGGGTTAGTATACTACTCTTTGGTTGGATACGTCACTGCCATGGTGTTGGCATATGCCCTTTCTAAAGGTTGGACATCCTTGCAAGGATTTGTGTGGATTATAAGTGGGGCATGATATTTTTGATGGTATCCATGAAAGGTCTTACTTCATTCCAGAGATACGAATATAGTGGTGGGTTATTGTTCATTGTACCATAACTAGTTTCTACAAGAATTTTGGGAAGTATGGGATTCCACAAGAACTTGGGAGAAACGGTTTATGCTGGATTGGATTATTAGTCATTTGTTGGTTTCCCGTATGCATTAAATTAATGTTGTTGCTTAAACTGGAGATCTGTTTAAATGTCCCTATTTTATTTCAAAATCCATGTATGCTACTTGTGAGAGGTGACCGACCGTTTTTATATGTTTTTTTTTCTAAACCTTGTTTGAGTTTGGGAGGAATATTGCTACAAAGCTTAGTGCTCACCCCCTTACAAACTACATTTTTCAGATTATGTACTGGAGGAGGATTTGGGAATTGAGGAACCAGCACATTGGGAGATTCTCATAGACGGGCATGTTGATCTCGAGGTGGACGCTTAGAACAACATTACTTTTTATTCTAGACTAGGAAATTTACTTAAAAATATTGTGAAGTCTAGACTCTTTTGTTATTCCGTTGCGAGTTTATGTTTAATTCTGTTGGGATGTAATTATCTTACTTTTGGGATTATATTCTTTTGGGGATATATTTGTCATGTTTTGGCGTATTCTTTTAGGCACGAGATTGTAAAGATTACCTTTGATGTATGAAATTTCTTATGGATGAATTATTTAGTTGCTCTCATGATGTGAATGGTTTTTAGTTTGTAATGTCATCTAGGGTGGGTTTTGGGGCGTTACAATAGGCTATGTCAATTGCACATGGACCAAGTCTAATTTTAACTTCCCCATGCTCCTTTTGTCATTACCAAAAGCTTCTTTACTCCAAGACATCAAATTAGAGCCGCAACTTTTAAGCTTCCCATAGATGGAGGCCAGACTGGGAGAGTCTTCCTGCCTAACCCAAGCCTTCTTAATCTCATTCTCATAAGAATCAAACTCCATCCACATGGCTTTGAACTTAAAATGGTAAGGAATTTTACATTTCCCATCTTCAAATTTTATCACAATGGGACCACGGTCAGAGCCCATTCTAGGCTCATGATAGACCTAAGCAAATGAAAAGGATCTTCTCCATTCTGGGTTTTCCAAGGCTTGGTTAATTCTTTCCTTAACACTATCTTCTCCCTCTTTGTTATTAGATCATGTAAAGATGGGACCTTTGATGTAAAGTTCCAAAACCCCATAATTAGAAATCAAACCTTGGGATTCCTCAATTGTATTCCAACATCTCAATCTACCTCCTCTCTTATCCCATATGGAACCAATAATGTTAAAATCCTTAGAAATAAGCCAAGGCATTGTGAGGTTGTGACGCCCCTAAAATCGGGGGTCATTTATTAACCGTTGACCAACCCTCAACCAGCGAAAATACCCGTGATAGTCACACACTCGACTCCACGTTAATAACATCTCCTTTATCGGGATTTTAACTCACACGTAAAACCCGTGTTCATTTTATCCTTTGATCCAACCGTGGTGCAATATACCACAATTCATACTCCATTATAGTCCATTTATATCCTTGGAACCCAAGAACCCACAGCCCAAAAAGCTTGGCAAAGTAGTTTTAAAATTTCAAAATTTCAAAATTTTGGAAAGAGTACCGGTACGCTTTGCTCACTGGACCTCGTTGTACCGATACGCAGTACCGATACCAATTGCCCACTAGACTTCAGTGAACTGGTACACAGTACCGGTACCCTTGGCCAACTTTTGCCTATTTTTACAGTTTTTCATTTCCAATCCATTCCAAACTATTCCAAAACCATCCAAAACATATTTAACAATGTTTTTCACCTAAACTCATTATATACAAGTCCTATTGCAAATAATTCCATACGATTACATGTCGAAAATATAATTTTCACAAGTATTTTACAACGGCTTTACAAAAATGAATTCAAAGCCACATTTCGGCTTTCTTCATCCTTGAGGTCCCATGCGAGGGCCTTCCTTTGGCGTATATCCCTCACCTGAAATATTTTTCCATATAGGGTGAGCTACGTCCAGTAAAGTATTTCCTACTGAGGCTATTTCCCAATCTATGTGCATATGAATGTTCATGCAACACTCTACAACCAACAACATTCCAAACAAGAATATATATTCAATGTTGGAATTTTAACAATATTATGTCATGAAATGTGATAAGACTCACTCATTCAACCCAACCCGAGCTTTTCCTGGCTCCTCTTCTCCCATTCAATGCCATGGGTAATTAAAGCTGGCTTTCCAAGCCCCGCCACTGGCGCTACACACCCAATGACTATTTAAAAATCTCTGGGTCTATTCTTGGGGTGGGTATTTATGGACTTACACCAATGGCACCCAACCGACACAGAATTTATGAACTTCCACCAACTGTTCTTCATACACCGGCACACTTTATGTACTTTTATATCAACGGAGTGCATCTCCAATCATCGGGTCTCTCACCCGAGGGATAGTCTAGCCCTTCTTTCTAACTTGAACCCAATTCTTTATCCACACAATAGTGCAACTCAGTCGGATCTTCGATCCAACTTTCTCGAACCCACCATCGTCCACCTATTTGGTGTTTGATTTTAACCATGCATATAGACACCCACACACATGGCTATGGATGCGATTTCTCTGTGCAAATGCAATGTAATGCTCCATTGCTATTTCAGTATCATGCCCATATGTAAAGAATGTCACATGAGCAAGTTTAACCTCACACATACACATGTTCCATGGCCAATTATATCTTATGCATATAATCACCAACGTTATCATAATGTCAATATATCAATGAACATATGTCAACATTTATTTTCAACAACAATTTACAAGCATGTTATCACATAACATACGCTAATAACACACTTAATTCTCCAAGCACAAAATAAACACAAAACATGCCCACATAACACCAATTTTCATGGAATTAATTACCACATACCAATTCCATGTTAGGAATTTTTTTTAAACCATTTCTAATATCCATTTCTATCAATTTCACAACAATTGGTAAGTGATATATAATTCTATCAACCTACCCATTACATATAACATCCTAGGTTGGAAAATAAACCCAAGTAGGAAGGAACCCTACCTCTTGAAGAGTAAACCCACTTGGTACAAGCCTTCAAGAGTCCCAATTTCACCCAAAACCCTTGATTTCTCCAAACTCAATTTTGAAACTTTGGTGAAACCCATCATTTTTGGTGTGGTTGCGTATCTCTGGACGAGGAGATCGACTTTTGTTCTTGGCCCGAGCGGATTTGATTACTTAATCTTCATAGATCATAGAGAGTAGGTGAGAATTTCCTTTTTGTTCCCTCTCCTCTCTTCTCACGTTGAAACCAGCTGAAGAAATGGGGGTGAAATCTGAATTTTCCCCCTATTTATACTTCCCAAACTCTTGGTCCACAACGCGCCACACGACCCTATTTTCTTAGGGTCCGTTTTCGCGCCAAAATGATTAAATTTCATCCTGGTTCAAGTTCATAATAATTGTATTTTAATTTGTCTTAAATTATTTTCCAACTTTGAAATTTTTATTAAAAATCCCATTTTTGGGTCACCTGAGACTCAACCGCCTCATAAAATATAAAAAATTTGACTATCTCGAAATTCGACAAAATTTGACAGGGTAACTAGATTTTGCGAGACAAATCCAACGGTGAGGTCCGTTTCATCATCCGAGTTCTAGAAAATTTCAGGTTTACAACCCGTACTGTAATGACAAATTGCGATTTTACCCTTTTCCATAAAAGTTTAAATTTTCCCGGGTTTTACATTCTTCCCCCCTTAAAAGAATTTCGTCCACGAAATTCACACACATATACACACTTAATCTCATGCATATGCAACAATATTATTATACTAAAAATTATAAAACTTGTAGCTCCATCCTCGAACAAGAATGGATAGTTGATACGTATGGTATCCTCACGCTCCCATGTCGCCTCCTCCACTCCTCGGTACTGCCATAACACCTTTACTAGCGGCACAGTCTTGCCTTGCAAAATCTGCTCCCAGCTATCCATGATACGCACCGATCCCTCCTTAAAGGTCCAATTTGCATCCACAATCCATTCACCCTAATCCACCACGTGTGTCGGATCTAGAGTATACTTTCGGAGCATAGAGACATGAAACACTGCATGAACACCGATAAATTTGGTGGTAACGCTAATCTGTAGGCTATTGTATCCACCCTCTCGAGTACCCCGAAGGGCCTGATGAATCTCGGTGACAGCTTTCCCCATTTTTTGAACCTGACCACTCCCTTCTTAGGCATCACCTTCAAGAAGACATGATCTCCCACCTCAAACTCCAGAGGTCGTCACTGTTTGTCGGCTTAGCTCTTTTGTCGGCTCTAAGTCGTAAGAAGACGCTTTCGTATCAAGTCCACCTTCTTCAAGGTGTCTCTGATCAAATCTAGACCCATAGAGGGTATTTCTCCTACCTCTGTCTAACATACCAAAAAACAACAAGGCCTCCTATAAAGTTATCTTGTAGGGTGCCATCTGAATGCTTGCATGATAACTGTTCTTGTAGGCGATTTTCATTAAGGGTAAATACTCTTCTTAGCTACCCTTGAGATCTAGGACACATGCCCATAGCATGTCCTCTAATATCTGGATGATCCTCTCCGACTGACCATCTGTCTAGGGATGAGAAGTTGTGCTTATCATCAACTGTGTCCCCATGGCTCGCTGGAAGCTCTCCCAAAAATGAGCCGTAAACCTAGGATCCTGATCCGATACTATAGATACGGGTACCCCATGTAATTAGATAATCTCCCGTATATACAACCTACAGAACTCCTCTAGTGTAAAGGTCATCGGCACAACCAAAAAGTGTGTCGACTTACTGGACCCACACCGCGTCATGTCCTTGCGGTGTCCGTGGCAAGTGGGTTACAAACTTTATTGTGATATGGTCCCACTTCCACTCAGCTACCTCCAAAGGTTCGTGTAACTCTGTTGGCCTCTGGTGCTCAGCCTTGACTTGCTGACACGTGAGACATCGTCTAACAAAGTCCCCAATGTCTCTCTTTATTCCACTCCAATAATACTGGCGATGAAGATCATGGTACATCTTCGTGCCACCTGGATGCACAACAAATCGGGAGCAATGAAACTCCCTAAGGATCTCCTTCCTTAAATCTACTAGCTGGGAAACCACAACCCTTCCCATAAACCAAAGACTACTATTCGTATACATGCCCTAGCCCTCGTCACTTGTACCTGACCATACCCGGTCCCTGATAGACAATATCTCTGTGTCCTACCCCTGGGACTTGAACACCTTGCTCAGTAGGGAAGACGTAGTCACCAAACTCCCTAAAGTGCCCTAAGCCTGATCCATGTAGCGTAGCCCGAACTATCCCACAGTCCCAAGCATTTGCCACTCCTAGGAAGCCACACTAGCTAAGACTCCCTATGACTTCCGGTTGAGTGCATCAGCCACCACATTTGCCTTACCAGGATGGTAATGCAAAGTAAAGTTGTAGTCTTCCAAGTACTTCATTCACCTGTGTTGCCTCATGTGGAGGTCCTGCTGTGTGAAAATATATTTTAGACTTTTGTGGTCTGAAAACACCTCGAACTGCTCCCCATACAGATAGTGGTGCCATGCCTTTAAGGCAAAGACAATGGCCACCAACTCCATGTCGTGTGTAGGATAATTCTGTTTGTGGTTCTTTAATTTCCACGAACCATAAGCTACCACCATCCCGAACTGCATCAAAACATAACCCAGTCCGTCTTTGGAGGCATCATAGTATACCGTGTACATCTGTCCCCTCTCTAGAACTATCAAAATAGGGGCTGAAGTAAGCCTTCTCTTTAACTCTTGGAATGCCTCCTCACATAAATCATTCCATTGAAACTTGACCTCTTTTCGGGTCAATCTTGTCATAGGTGCAGATAATTGGGAGAAGTCCTCGATGAACCTCCTATTGTACCCTTCCAATCCCAAGAAAT